CCTGCTATTTTACAATTCCCCTGTGATACTGGCTTGTCGTGCCTTTAGGGTACGTGGCCAAGCCCAACCCTGCTGTGTTCCAGATTACAAAGTGCAAATTCCACAATGTACTACAGGGTGTTGCAAAACCCGATTTGCGTCTCACCGACGACGAGAAGAAACTGTACATTGAGTGGTGCGAAATGAACTTTGACCGCTACTGGATTACCCCCAAAGGGCCGGTTCAAAGCTCCGATGTTATCATTATGGATGACCCACAACGTAGGTTCATTTTCTGTGTATTGACCGCTTGGCACCCATTGCTGCCCTAGCTTAGTACATGTCCCCTTTCTATCAGAGGGAGATAAATGAGGCCATTGGAGGACTTAGACCAGTAATACTGGCTACCTTTTCTCCAGACCTGTCCCGAAATTCGCTGGATCGATCATTTTAGAGACTCTCTTAACTCACTGCGGTTACCCCCTATATCACGTTTATTTCATGGAACTTCTAGTGGCCGGTATTATCCCCCGTATCAAGGAAAGCAATCCCAACTGCAAGATCATTTTCCGGTCGCACATTGAAATCCGATCCGACTTGGTTGCGATCGAAGGCTCCCCCCAACACGATACTTGGAGTTTCCTGTGGCAGTTCATCAAGCACGCCGACCTGTTCATTAGCCACCCCGTCGCTGGGTTCATCCCACCCTGGGTTGAGCACAGTAGGGTTGTCCTCATGCCCGCGTCGACTGACCCCCTCGATGGTCTCAACAAACACCTTAACTTGATCAACCAGAACTACTATCACGTTATCTTTAACCGTATTTGTAACGATCAGCTGTCGCCGCCTTTGAGCCAGGTTCGCCCCTATATTATCCAGATTGCCCGGTTCGACCCATCGAAAGGTACGTAGCTTATATTTCGGACATTCGACCATTGGGCCCATTTGGCCACCAATATACTTCTGCAAGCCCGGTAGTATTGGTTCGGACCAATGCTGGGATGAAGAACATAATATCTTGAAAACAGCTCTAACGCTTTGAAATATTTAAATGGGCATCTATAATTTCCAAAACGCCAACCAAACAGGTATTCCCGACTGTCTGGAAGCTTTCCGTCTGCTTCGCGAGCGCATGGCGAAGAACAAAGATCTCGATGTGCAGTTGCCGCAGTTGGTTATTTGTGGCCACGGGAGCGTTGACGACCCCGACGGTGCCATTGTGTACCAGGACACCATCCGCCGCCTCTCCGAGCCGCAATTCGAGGAGATTAGCGATGACATCTGTGTGGCCCGTATTCCCCCGTGCGACCAGTTGCTCAACGCCCTGCTGAGTGGGTCCTACTGCGCCCTTCAGTTGTCCACCCGGGAGGGTTTCGAGGTCAAGGTGACGGAGTCCCTAGCCAAGGGCAAGCCGGTGGTGGCCTACGCCACCGGCGGGATTCCCCTACAGATCAAACACGGCAAGACCGGGTTCTTGGTACCGACCGGGGATATCGCCAAGGCCGCCGACACGTTGTACGACCTCATGACCGACCGCGAGCTTTACGAGCGTATACACACGAACGCGAAACGCGACACGATCAAACGGCAGGAATACCACACCCCGTTCCAGACCGTCAACTGGCTCTTCCTGGCCACCCGCCTCATGGAGAAGAACCGGGATCGCTCGAGCACGATTTCGGCCCAAGAGGCCCAGAGTCTAGTGGGCCGGGACTGGGGATGCAGATACGTGAAAGATTACTGGTTCAAGGCCTTTGGTGTCAAGGTCGAAGATCCGTTGTAAAGTGACCTTCTCCAGGCCTCGTCGAAAGCCGACAAGGAAGCAGATGGTGCCCCGGTATCCCAACTTGGAAGAGGGGCTCCCCTTTTTTATTACCATTATTGTTTTTGAATTCCTTGACTTGGTGAGTAGAATTTAGCTGGCTAATAGAAGCCAATCGTTAGATACCAGATTTAGCATATGACCAACATCATGGCTTATACCCTACATTGTTTGCTCTGTATTCTTAAAATCCCCCATCAATTTATGTTATTTCAACTATTCCTTGTTTTATTTTTGTTGGTCTAATATATTATTGGTTAATAAAAAAACCAACCCCGGCCAGGCAAGACCCCCTTCATATGGATATGGCATCTAATGAATGAGGCATGTATATTTCCGGGAGCTGTGCCATTTTCATGCGCCCGAGAACTCATTAAACTATCATGGAACTGGAGGAAGGTCTAAATTAGTTGTAGCCCAATTAACTACATTAATGAACTAATTTAGTCAGCCTTGGGGGTCCAAACATGCAACTTTCATATCAACTGGTAGCTAGTTCGATAGGACAGACCTCGCCGGAGTTTAGTATTTATAAGGCTGGCGTGCGGTGAACTTAGTAGAGAATGGAGGTCTTGATAGGATGAAATCCGGTGGAAGTAGTGGGGGTGAAGAACTTATTATTAGTCTCGCGCACCACGCGCTCGGCCTCTCGGTTGCCCGATAGATGGATCACAAACCGGCTGGCAACGATTCGGGGTGGGTTCCTAATTCAGATGGTTAAAGTCAAATTAAATCGTTCAGAGTATGAGTATCAGCGTATTCTTGGTGGATCGAATAGCCAAGGACAGAAAAGCTCCGACACCCCTGAGTTGGATAACAATGGATGGCCCAGCGGCTTAATTCTGGGTCAGGGTTGGCTATGGATGGAATGGTTAGAAAGTGGATGGAGCCGATTAGTAAGCTACTTACATGGGAAGGCGAATGACCCCCGCGTTGGAACTCTCCACAATTTCGTATCCGCTGAAGAATTGGTGCACTTCACTATCGGTGACTTGCTTGGGGAACCCTAGGGCCAAGACGCACCGGCCTGAGGCATTATTGATGAAGGAAGGCCGCAGCTGTAGCGTGTCTATATTATCTTTTAACTACACGCGGTACATAGTCAAACATAAGGATTGGTGTAGTCCCAATATCATCATTGATTGATCGCATAATAAAGAGAATGCATAGGAATTATGTGGAGTTAGCACCTCTGAGGTAAAAATAAAATCGTCGCTGATGGTGCGAATCCTTAGGATCCCACTAAATAGTTAAAATCCCTAAAAATCCCTTTAAATTTCAACGGACTTCGCCATTATTATTATTATTTAAAAAAAGGCACCGGGGCCGGATGTAGAGGACCACTTACGAAGTTCATATTTAGCACTTGGCCCGTGACGCTGTGTTGGCCATTTTTGATGAGAAAGCTGGAGGCTGCCGAACGGGTTGCAAACTCAACAACCACTTGACTGGTTAATATAGAGTTGGAGTCATAGCGTGGATATACTAAATCGATATACACGCAGTGAATAATATGCGATGTTCGGATATCAGGTAAATGTACAAAGGACGTATAGATAAGAAGGTTGGGTAATTAGATGGATCAACCGACTGTGGCAGTGGCCAACCCCTATAGTTACCTGTAGTAATTTGGGAAGAACGATTAAAGTATAAATAGGAATTTACGTAGGACTTACCATCCACGATTTGCTCAGGGAGCATTCCACTGCGTTGGGCAATGGCTCGGAAATCAGCTGGAATCATCGTGGGCGGGACATTTTGTACAATTATAAATCGACTCGGCAAGTGTGATTCGTCCAGCCCTGTAGGAGAAAATAAGGAAAGACCCGTGGTGACAGGTAGTTAAGTCAAAGGAATGCATTAGCGATTATGGGCTAGAACAGTAGTGTCAGACCAGGCCTGGTTTGCATACGTGCTGGGCCGAGTGGGCGATGGATTTTAGAGTGCCTTCCTTCGAAATGTTTGGATATAATCTGGACACCAATAATGGACCAACTAAGAGGTATACTATTCCTAAGAAAGCACTCCCCACACATAAAGCATTTTACACCATGGGACCAGTTCTAATCAGCCGTACAACAAAAACCCCCTTTGACTAGGCCACGCTTGGCTTGTAACGTTGGGTGATCCACTCGTTCGCTCATTCACTTCTTGTAATGGCGCATTGGGCCACTCCCACATGTATAAAGAAGAAAATAAAAAACCTACCGAACTCGCTATTCAGACCGTCATTCGGGTTATCGTGATGGATAGCTGGGTCCCAGGTGTTCGTTAGCTCTTTAGGATTAAAACGAATCTTGGTGGGTCGTCGTTGTGAAACGGGAGGTCCTGTGGTGTGATCTCTAGCGTTGACATCAAAAGGACTCAGCGCCGGTCTGAATTTCTTGGGAGCCCCAGTGTGCGGATAACCGCTAAATTGCCGTTGAGGCACTAAAGGCTGACCCAATGGGTGGACAGGAATGCGGCGGAAGCCGGTATGGCCAAGAACAGCCGGGAGCCTTCTGAGCTTAAGGACTGGGAATCGAGCGGACATTATGGAGAATCAGTTAAATATAAGGTATGTAGAAAACTACATTGATAAAAATAATGAGAATCGCGGTGTTCACCAGAGAAAGTTGCTCAACTGAATTTCGAGTATTGCCAAAACTGTGGCCTAACGTCTGGGGGGAAAAATAAATACCCTATCAATGTGGCTTGGGTAGATTACCGGAAAATGACCATGAAATCTTCCCAAATATTCCCATTTAATAGGCCCGAAGGCCACGCATATCGTTTAAAATATAATGCGAGAATGTTGCATGTCATAGGACTGGATAATCAATTATAGACTATATGTTAAAAAGGCCCGTTGGCGGTCTGCTATATATATTGCCTACCAGGAGGATACATCAAGCGACATTAGCAGTGGTATTTATGGTGCAAAAACATATCAAAAACTATTCTATGCTTTAATCCCGGTAAAGCTGATATAGTAAAAGATAGGATTAACAATTACAAGATAGTTGGTTCCACTAAGATATTAAACCAGTATTAATCAACCGGTGTGTAGGGTAGAGTACTACCGACATGGAAGATCAATTCGTACGATACTTGGACAGTGAGATTACAATTACGGAGGGTTAGAAGCCCCCAATTTGGTGCCCACCATTTTATTTTTATGCTTTTATATAGTTTAAAGAAAATCACCACTAACATGTGAGGGCAGATGGCCGAGTGGTCTAAGGCGCTGCGTTTAGGCCGCAGTCTCTTCGGGGGCGTGGGTTCGAACCCCACTCTGCTCACTCTACTTTTTCATTCTTTTAGTCCAAGCACTGTGATGGTGGTAGGACTAGATGAGGTATATATTGTTTTGTTTGTGTACATATGGTATGTGTGAGTGTGAGTGTGTGAGTGAGGCTCGTACAGAAACTGCACTCTGGCCAATGAAAAAATAATCGGTCTATCGACTATTGGTCCAACACCCCAATTGAGAAGTTAGAGATGCCAACTTTCATTGTCCTTTCCAGGAATTTCATTGGCCAGCAGTAAAGTGGCTCGTATAAGGAGCGGTTACTGTTCAGCTAAAAATACGAGTCTATTTTTAAGATGGTCTCTATAGATTAATAATTTTCACATAATCTCTCGGCAACAATAGGATTGATTGGTGTGAGAAAGCAGAATTTAATGAACAGGCTGGTCGGGTTAGATGAATGGGGGGGGGCACCCATTGTTTAGTTATTGGGAGTTTGGAATGATGATCCTACAGGTAATTCGCGCTTGATTTATTATAGACACTGGTCAAAGTAGGATATCTTGTAGCGCCACCACCATTTTAAATGTGACGGTAAGGTAATTTATAGCAAATTTTGGTACTTTGTACTTGCTTACTCATGGGTATTTAATAATATATGTAGGAGTGGATTGGCCTATTTTGTTATTATGGCCGAGGTTTATTTGGCAGTTTGGAGTGTGGTTGATGGGAAAGAGGGTGGTGGCCTAGAGGGAGAGTTGACCAAACCATGAAATGGAGGGGGATAATTAAGGTAGCCGGTCGTTATAAAACGGGGGTTGTACCACAGCTGCAAACAGCCACGCATCAGCCTCAGGAACGCGGTTGATGGAGAGGCTGAGCAGCATAGTTGTGCTTCAATGGCGGGGATTTGGATGTGTACCATTAGGACATTTCCCCCTGCGGTTCGGGAGGCTATTACTCTTATCCAAGCTAGCAGACATGGTGGAGCCACTAAGGAAAGAAGCCCCCGGCTAGTAGTGTGGGATGGCAATCCGAGGGGGGCGCAGGGGGTGGCCCCGTGGTAAATGGTAGGGGCAGCAACTCCCAAGAGTGGTTTCCAAGTAAAGTCGTCGTTGTAGTCGACACCTGCTACAAAAAGTAGGAGAAGAAAGGATGTATAGAGTAGATGGATTATCTATCTATCTATTGCTACTTCTATTACCAGGCCAACCCTTGCTGACGAGCCACATGCCTATCACGGAAAGGGAGGTTATCATTGGCTGGCTGAGAGCTGGATGGGATATATTTTAGCGCGGCTTTGGGGATTTTCTTTCATCCCGGGCGAGATTTTCACTTTCCCGAAAAGGATCTCTCTCTTTGACTTCAAGGCTATATAGGTGGCCTCTCAGTAGTCCACCCCATCTTCCCCACCACTCTTCAGCTCTTATTGCCGCACTCCGACGATCCGCCTCCAGCATTCCAGCTGCTTGATTACATGCATTGGTCACACTGGCCTACAAACACACTATATATAACTTTTCTATTCCCCCCCACCCGCCTTGCATCCTTCACTCCATCTCTCTCTCTCTCTCCCTCTCTCTCGTGTTGTCTGTCTTCTGCCAGTACCAGTGCCTGGCCCTTCTTCCAAGCCCTTTCCCCCGCTTGGCCTCGACCCAATTATTGGACTTCATTCCTATATTGATTTTTTATCCACTTCGTACCTCCATGCGTCCCGACAGTTACAGTCTAGTGGAGGAGGGCACCGAGGACCAGTTCACTTCCTCCTCCAAGCCCCGTTTTTCCCGGCGCAAGTATTTGTACGTCCTACTGGTCTTGGTTACCGTGGGCGGTATCTGCATCCTGGTGTCCAACTCTTTGTCCAACCGTGCCGAAACCACCGCGGCTGCCTCCGTCGAAAAGTCCGCTTCCCAGGTGGCCGTCGATTCCACTCCCTCGGCCCTGGTATCGGCCGAGGTCATAACCGTGACCCAAACCGTTACTCAGCTCGTCGCCCCCACCACCCCGGCCCTGCCCGTTCTCTACAGTCACCTGGGTCTGGATAAGATCTTCCTCATGAACCTGCCTGCCCGTACCGACCGCCGCGATTCCATGTTGGAGATGGGCTCCTTCCTCCACCTCGACTTCAGTGTGTTCCCGGCCACTGACAAGGAGGAGATCAAGAAGGACCCCCTCTGGACCAGCGGGAAGACCCATTTGCGGGATGCCCAGTTGGCCTGTTGGAAGAGCCACATGCGAATCTACGAGGAGGTCATCGCCAGTTCCGATATCAACATGGCCCTGGTTCTTGAGGACGACGTGGACATCGACTACGATATTGCGACCAAGACCAAGGCCGCCCTGGACGCCGCCAAGGGCGAGGAGTGGGATATGCTGTACCTGGGTCACTGCAGTGGGTTCGAAGGCCAGAAGCAGAATGTCATCAACAAGGAGGCCAATCTCTACCACGCCGACTACCCCGTCTGCAGCCACGGCTACATCGTTTCCAAGAAGGGCGCCCGTAAGCTTCTGACCAAGCTGGCCGAGCCCCACGGTCCCATCGATCTGCTGATTGTCGGCTTGACCAAGTCCAAAGAACTCAATGTTTTGGCTCTGAGCCCTCCCATCATTACCCAGTACCACTTTGCCGGCGACACTTCCGATATCAACACCGACGGGAAAAACGGCATGACCGGCGGGGACCTGGGCTTTTCGACCCGCAAGCGGCTGGAGGTTTTCCATGAGATGAAATAGACTTACCTGAATTGTCCTTGGGTTTTGGTTCTGTTGGACTGGCCCAATGGCGGCTTGGAATTGGGGAGGAGGACCCGCCGGGGTTGGATCTGCGCCTATCCTCTACCCCCGCCCGACCTTTCTATCTCCCCAGCACCAACTCCTCCTATTCATTTGCCACTTGGTCGGCTCCCACGGATCCTGTGTCTCATCCTCCCTTCGTATTTCCGCTGTTTATTGTACCTCATAATGTCTTTAGTTGTGTATTGTTATTCCCGATCTTCTTTAATGCCTTGGTAATCCTGTGCTATGGATTGCGCCTATGGCCTTAATAAAATATAATGCCTCCTTTTATCCTTTCAATCTGGATTTTCCCCCCACATGAGCGGAGGATGTTCTCCAGTACCTTTTACTATACCTATTGCCTCCAACCTAGCTAAGTTGCTGATCATTTTACTCATCAGCTATCGCCAGTTCACATTGGGTCAATCATGCTGCCTAGTGGCTCTCCACCTCACTTGATCCAAGCGAACCTTGAATATCTACACCCCCTACCCTTCCCAATTGGAAAGAGGGAATGGAAAGGCGTCTTTTGTTGAGTTAGGGGGGCTGCTTGCCTCCTTTGTGTCATCATTATCTTTAATTGCTGTCGGAGAGAATGGTTAATCTTATATTAAAGGCCATCTTATTTTTCCGCTGATGCCGATAGTTACTGCTAGCCTCGGATTAATTAGCCCGCCCATTTTTAGCATACCCGTCCGCGATAGCCCCTTGCTCATTTAATTTACATTTGGGTAAAGTTCAACCCGACTATATAGGGTAAAATCCATATAAGGGGGCCATCATATTTAGGTCACGTGACCTTTAG